ATATTAATTCAATGTGTTAAATTCACATGTATGCGAACTCAATATAAACAAAACAACCAATTTTATGTATTATATATAACCATATATATGTGTGTGCATGTATATATATACAATCGAATACTCATTATCTATCTTTGGATTTTTCTTCATTAAAAATATCAAAAAAATTATTATTATTATTATTTTATTATTGTATAATTTGAGAGAAGTTTTAAAAAAGGGAAAACAGCCAGATATAAAAATATTTGAGTTTTACTTTATAATTAATGGATTATTGAACAAAATAAGATGTTCACAAAAATCTTTAACTATTAAGAAATGGATGAAAAGCCTGTGTTCAGTGTATTATGAAAATCTTGTAAATCTTGTCCAAAGAAAGGTTTGCATAAAAAACATCAACCATTCTTATTAGTTGCAGGCAGCGTTGGCAATTTAACTGGTTCTAATCTATTTGAACTTTTGAACTGTTAATTCAGTCAGTTTAACTTGCTGATCATTTGAACTTTGCTGAGCAGTTATTTAACCAATCTGCAAGTTATTTAACAGAGTTCATTCACATATGGAAAACAGTATCAAATATCAATACAAATAAAATATAGTACCTCTGTTATTAACACGTCTTCTTTGGGAGACTCACGTTTTGTCATCTTGGGGTGTGTCAAAAAATAAATTGTTTTTTCAAAAAAAAAAAAATCAATTCGCGTCAGCAAAAAAAACCAATAAATAGGGTTCCATATGAGTTTGTCGATCAAGTAATAATTATCCTTTTTCATTTTCTAAAATGTCAAAAACGGAAACAAGAAAAAAATTAGGAGACGGCTGCTGGGCAAGTGTTTATCATAAAAATGGTGGTGCATGTCGTCACTCTAGTTATTTAAAAAGAATGGTAATGGTTATTACCACTCGCAACTCTCGTCATTATAGTTTATTTTAAAAAGAATGTAGTGATGGTTATAACCATTGCAACGTGTCATCATTCTAGTTACTAAAAAACCTTGACTTTGTATTTTTATTAGAGTATCTACTATTGCTACAAAAAGAAAAGACAATGATGATAAAGTAATATTATTTCTCTTCAAATGACAAAATTATTCTCAATAACGATTTTCTAATAAATAGGAAAATGAATTGACGATTGCGAAAATGGAAATTCTTGAACTAAAGAAAAGAATAAAAAAATTGGAAAAACAGAGATCCCACACAATAAATATTGATGTGATTAATATACATGATTTTCATATTATCTATTTATTCATTTGTTGATATGTTTTTTTAATGTTAAATAAATAACCAACCCAATTTTATTTTCAACAATATTTTTCCTTTTGTCTCTCTAAGGCTCCGAACGAATCAATGAACTCGAACCGATTCGAACCGATTCGAATTCGAATCGAATCGAATCACTTAATTTTTGATTCGTTTCATTCAAATCGAATTCGAATATATAATTTGATTCGAATATATAATTTGATTTGAACTGATTTGATTTGATTCAAACTGACTGGTTCGAATCTGTAATAATAACTGATTTGAATCTATGATTTGAATCAAATACACTATATATAATAAATGAAAAATCTTTATTTTAATGTATATTTTATAATTTTATTTACA